GTGTATATATATATGTATATATATATATATATATATACACATACAGTGGTACCTCAGTAATCAAACTCATTATAACTCTAATTATAACTCAAACCAACCAGTTCGAAAAAAAATTACCTAGAACTCGATCTGAATCTCAGAAGTCATACCGTGAACGCCGACCTAAGATAACTTGTACGTGCGGGGAAACGAGTCACGCGGCACATCTCTCAGCGGAAACAAAGCGTGACGCTTCAGTCTCAGCCTCAAATTTGCTGTGATAGCATCGTGCATGTTTACACTAGCTTAATACATATATATAGACAGTAAAAATACATTTGGACAATGAAAGACAGTAACAGTAATTATTATTATATAATAAAATACATTTGAAAAAGATTTATTAATTATCTTAATATTAATAATAAACCATTAATACATTTAATTATAATAATATTGTCGTGCCGAGCGGGGACGGAATGGAGACAAAGGCGCAGACCTCAGAGTATCGGGAATACGGGGTTTAATTACAGGTAAGGCAGGCAAAACGCAGACGGACAATACAATGACCGGACTGGGGAAACAAACTGAAACACGGACTAAATACAAAGGACTAATGACAACAACCAGAAACGGCTGATCACACAGGTCGCTGTTACGCATCTGAGTGATTTATAACTGAGAACCTCCCCCAAAAAAAAAAAATGTTTTTCTTGATAAGTACTTGAAGTTTTGTTTTTGTGTTAAATCAATATATACCAATATCGCATTATCGTATCTCAAATCCTCTTCTCAAAAAGCTTTAAAAAGGTTGCTGACCTCTGATTTTAGTTATATGACTAAGTAATATGTAATATATAGCAGGTCAACGTGCCGATCTGTTGTTGGGCTTAAGTTTTTCTTAAGTAATGAAGGGTTTCTGATGACCTTTGGACAATCTCTGTTGTTGTTTATTTTTGGTAATTGATTTCCAATAATAAATGCATACTTTTGCATAAAGCAATCATGCCTTGCCAACTCTAATATTGATAAGAAAATTAACACCTGAAAAAATCCCTTAATAGTAAATGTTGAATAAATTCATAATTTAATTTGCAATTAATTTGTGATTAAATATGGACAGTTGTACGATTACTCACGATTAAATATTTTAATCTATTGACAGCCTTATAGTATATATATTTTTTTATTTCTTTAAATGGGGGCCTCATACACTCTGATAGCCCTGTGGCCAGTACAACGAAGCGGGGTTACTGGCTTATCGGGGTAACTTGTCGGATTTAAGGTACCACAGTTTAAATGGACTTCATATTCGCTCACTTACATTTTGCCCAGACTACCTTAAATCCAACAAGTTACCACGATAAGCCAGTAACCCCGCTTCGTAGTACAGGCCACTGTTCTCAGCCTCACCTCAGGTACTGATATCCTGACATCCCAACCCAAGACAGTTTTAAGGGGTAATTAAAAAGAAAGAAAATCACAGGAAGGTTATTAGACAAAAATTGGCTGTATGTCTTTCAGAATATATCTTGCAGTTCTGCCAAAAATCCTTTGAAGATTCAATTGTGCCTCTAATGAAGAATTTACACAGCAATACAAATTTACACATCGTTTACAACTACACAACAAAACATGGTCACTGACCCTTGAAACTATCCCAGGAAGCACAGGCCACACAGGGAATGGGATGCCAGTCCATCAAAGGGCACTATGAGGAGAACATGCAAACTCCAAAGGGTAGGTTGATCATTACCTGCTAATAAAGAAGGTTAAGAACAAGATACTATTATGCTATACTTCTAAAAAAAGATACTACAGTATTATACTAAGTAGATACACATATTGTGATGTATAAAGATTTAGGAGACTTCATACATGTAAAACTTAATTTTAACAGCTTTGACAGATGGAAAGGAAGATTTATCAAAAACTGAGTCCATGAAAAGATAGAAATAGAGCTAAAGTCAGCACGACAGACTGAACGGTAGCTTGCAGTCCTGCGGAGGTGTTTGCTGGTTTGGCAGTAGAGATTGTTGATCTTGTTGATATCGTTGTTGCGGTCGTTCTGGTTGTTGATGTTGACGTTGGGGTCGTTCTTTTTGTAGTCACTTTGTTTGTCGTTGGGGTTGGTTTGATGGTGGTTGTTGATGTTATTGTTGGGGTTGTTAACGTCATTGTTGTGGTTGTTGATGTTGTTGGGGTCGTTGTGGTTGTTGATGTTGGGCTTGTTGATATTGTTGGGATTGTTGTGGTTGTAGTCGCTTTGTTTGTCGTTGGGGCTGGTTTGATGGTGGTTGTTGATGTTATTGTTGCGGTTGTTGAGGTCGTGGTGCTTGACGTTGTTGATGTTGCGGTCGTTGTGGTTGTAGGTGCTTTGTTTGTCTTTGGGGCTGGTTCGATGGTGGTTTTTAATGTTATTGTTGTGATTGTTGACTTCGTTGGTGGGGTCATGGTTGTTGATGTTGTTGGGGTCGTTGTGGTTGTTGGGGTCGTTGTGGTTGTAGTTGCTTTGTTTGTCTTTGGGGCTGGTTTGATGGTGGTTGCTGATGTTATTGTTGCGATTGTTGACGTAGTTGTTGTGGTCATTGTGGTTGTTGATATTGTTGGGGTGGTTGTAGTCGCTTTGTTTGTCGTTGGGGCTGGTTTGATGGTGGTTGTTGATGTTATTGTTGGGGTTGTTGACGTCATTGTTGGGGTTGTTGTGGTTGTTGATGTCGTTGTGCTTGACGTTGTTGGGATTGTTGTGGTTGTTGATGTTGACGTTGTTGGGGTCGTTATGGTTGTTGATGTTGGGGTCGTTGTGGTTGTAGTCGCTTTGTTTGTCATTGGGGCTGGTTTGATGGTGGTTGTTGATGTTATTGTTGCGGTTGTTGATGTCGTTGTTGGGGTTGTTGTGGTTCTTGACGTTGCTGGGGTCGTTGTGATTGACGTTGTTGTTGGGATTGTTGTGGTTGTTGATGTTGACGTTGTTGGGGTCGTTGTGGTTGTTGATATTGTTGGGGTCGTTGTGGTTGTTGATATTGTTGCGGTCGTGGTTGTAGTCGCTTTGTTTGTCGTTGGGGCTGGTTTGATGGTGGTTGTTGATATTGTTGGGGTCGTTGTGGTTGTAGTCGCTTTGTTTGTCGTTGGGGCTGGTTTGATGGTGGTTGTTGATGTTATTGTTGTGGTTGTTGACGTCGTTGTTGGGGTTGTTGACGTTGTTGGGGTCATTGTGCTTGACGTTGTTGGGATTGTTGTGGTTGTTGACG